CAGGCAAACCTGTCTGGTCCCTACAACAGGAAATAAGAATGACAATTAAAGGACACAGTGACTGTGAATGAGGATATGGTGCTATGTCACATGGATAGATTTTTATTGAAGGCTCATAGGAAAGAGGTACCATGTTGTCAATACACAGACTGATTATAAATACTGATATTAGCCCCCCCCCCCCCTTATAATAACCGCTGGTATGAATAAAATCTACCAAAATACCCATTTTATTTATCTGAAGCCATAGTCATATGATCACCCTTCTCTCCCCTTCTGTTTACTTCCTGCGGTCCTTCTTTGAGTGTCACATCACTGCCTGAGTAATGTTCACGCCTCCTATAGGTGACACTTCCATTAGCACGGATCAACTCTCCAGAGGCAGAAGAACTCACCAGGGTGGTGAGGAGACCAGTGTCCAGGAGGAGCGGGGAAACACAGGGACCACAGGGTGGGAAATGCTCCTGGTTCACAGAGGACGCTGTGACTTGCTTCCGTTCTACTGCAGGATGGCTTAGGAAGAGATGTTCAGAATCAAGGCTGAGGAGGAAGGTAAGGTTTTTGCCTGGAGTTGGGTTTTAGTTAAAGGCAGAGATCACTTTTAGTGCCTGTTCACATAAATGCGAAATGGATGTGGTTTGATCTAATCCGCATGACATGTGAAATAACATTGCTTCTTATGGTGCCTGTTCACATATGGCCGGTGCATTGCTGGTGTAGATTCAGTGTGGTTTTATAAAGAGTCATGTCCGATTTCTGATCAGTGCAGTCCGGTTCAGGTGTGAATTACAGGCTATTGACTTCTATGGGAACCGTTCCTAAACCGCATATGTGTGAACAGGATATGATCCTGAGCTGATCCTGCCTGAACCTGATGTAAACCTAACGTGAACCTGTGAACAGCTACTGTATCAATTAACTGTGAAACCTGATCTTCAATCCGCACCGCACGTGTGAATCAGCTCTTACCAAATACTGCCTATGCTGATGAATGGGCGTCTGTAGATAAAAGAAAACTGTGCAGCTTTGATTAAAGTTGAATAATGCCCTTGCTATAGGTGTAGGCCATTTATGTACCCCCCAAAGCCTGACTGAACAACCCCAAGAGATGACATCATCCAGTCCTGTCTTGTTTCTAGGATGTTGCTAAGATACTCCCAGCTCTTACTGATCACCTCCACAATCACAGAAGGGAGCTCTTTCTACGATTCAAGCCCCTCACATGCTCTATCTCTCCCCTGATGTAGTAACTATGAGCTCAACATTGGAGAGCTCACTCCTGTGATGGTGAAGTTGAACAATAACAACTGAGGGGGTGATCTTTTTTTTTTCGGTGCTTGAACATGAAGGACATTGTGTAGTATATTGTGTGTAATATATATTTATATATATTGAAGATATTGAAATACATACTGTTCATTCTTGGACATGCCAGTGACAAGACCACTTTACACTTTAAAAGAACTCTTTGCTATGTTAATTTTACTCAGGTCACCTTGGTATTTGGGGAATAGCCAGTTTATCTAATTAGACATTCCAAAGGGTACATTGTATATGTGATTTGACCATACAAGAAGTATTTATTGAAGGTAATTCGACTCCAGGGCGTATTATATGGTGAAAGGATGACTTGTGTATCTGGTAAACACTATAGTGAACCTAATTGTTACAAGTGAAGTCTTTTCATGTAAGATCAAAAGTGTTTTGTCAGCCAATCAGAAACCCTCCAATAAACTGTATTTCAAGGGAAGTTATTGTGACTGGGAGAGGAGCGTTTTCCCTGTCATTAATATGGGAGCACAGGTATAGATCATAACTCACATTATTTAATGCATGGAAGCTACCTAGATGCATATTATAGATGGACATATGCTGGATAGTGTAGTATCTCTATGCTTGAAGTATCTTAAATGGGACTTTGAGGGTTGTTGTTCATTATAATATTTACAAGTATTCAGCTGGATTTCTGTCATCTGTAACAAATATCTTTATCCGAATAAATGCATCTCTCTGGAAAAGAACTGTTAGTTGCTGCGGGAAAAGTACATATATAAATATATGCTGGTCATACGTCCTCCATCATTGATATAAGACAATAGATTTGCCTTATGAACTGTTTTTGTGTGGACTTCATAATTTTAAGACAACACCCACTCCCTCAATACTTACCTGAGCCTCATCGTGATCCAGCGATGTGAATGACAGCCTCGGCTGTCTCAGGTCTCTGCCTCCTCATTAATTGTGACAGCAAGTGGGAGCCATTGGCTCCAGCTGCTGTCAGTCACAGCCAGTCAACCAATGAGGAGAGAGAGGGGGCAGGGCCAAGCTGTGGCTCCATGTGGGAATGCAGCAGCAGGTGCCCCCATAACAAGTTGCTTGCTGTGGGGGCAGCCAGGAGAGCCCTGTGGGGGACCGGAGAAGAGGAGGATCCAGGCTGCTTTGTGCAAAACCACTGCACAAAGCAGGTAAGTATAGATATGTTTGTTGTTTTACAAAAAAAAAGAAGAACCTTTAGAATCGCTTTAAGCAGTTCATCATCTTGTAGCAAAGACTCTAGATCTGATGGGCAAAAGGGGACCCCAGATAACCTGAATTGTGACTGATAAGCATATTGTAGCTTTATATACCGGAAAATTACTTATTAGGAAGATAATACAATGATTTCAACTCACCTGAAGATCTCAATTTCCTATATTGTGTAATGTCACCTAATGTTTTAACTCCATATCCTGTCCACACAATAGGGTCCTCATACATTTAGAAATTATTATTCAGGATAGGAAATGAGATAGGTTAGGGTTTTTCCATAAGGGAATATGGGGTGAAGGGGCGAAAGGTCCCCCAAACCCAACCCTATGCGTCAACTGTCCAAGCCCGCATCACAAATCTCATTGAGACAGTTACAACATATGGGGACTTGGACCTCTGTGCACCAGATGGGCCAAAGCTTCATAGGAGCCAACTACAGCCACCTCTAAAGCCATAGAAGCATTGCCTAGAGGGCCCCTTAACCATTTATGTGTGAAAACTAGTATTTTTTTTAAACGTTTAGCACTGCTAAGTCTCCTTCCTTCCAAAGTTGTTGAAAGATACCAAACTGGAGTCGGGGGACACCTCCTTGCCAGAGAAACTCAGAAATCAGACCATGTATAGGTTGGAAAATAGTTCTAGGAATCCACACTGGGGAGTTCCACAGGACATATAACATATGAAGCTTCATTTTAATCAAGTTGACTTTCCCAATCATTGAGAGAGGGAGGTTCCTCCACACATTAATCTTTTGCTAAGTGAGAAACAATGGGTGAAACATTTAACCGTCTAAAATATGGCAAAGAATTAGTAATGGTAAGCCTAAAGAATATGTTTTTTAACAGAAAGTAGAAAATATTGTTTTTTTTTCCCCAAAATGTTTTGTCTTTTTTAACTTGTATAGTAAATACAACACCCAGTGATGATCAAATACCACCAGAAAAAAAAAACTCTATTTGTGTGAAAAGAATGAAATAAATGTTATTTGGGTACAATGTTGCATGACCGCGCAATTGCCAGTTAACCACTACCCGACCACCCTATAGCAGAACTACTGCTACGGGGCGGCAGAGCTGCGCAAAATCATGTGTGTATATATACGTGATTTCACAATTCTGGGTAGGGGGTGCGCGAGCCCTACTCGCACTGTTATTGGCAACTTCAGCTGTCGATCACCGGGTCCCAGCGAGTGATTCCCAGCTGGCACCCGGCAATCACAGAGTAGCACTGCAGGGGGAGAGGTCTTTGTGTAAACAATACAGATCTCTACCCTGTCCGCTCCAGCACTTTGCTTTGTATTGCTCTGCATAGCAGAGCATAACAAAGCGATGTGCTGACCCAGTAAAGCACACACACAGTTAACCCTTTGATTGCCCCAGATGTTAACCCCTTACTGCCCAGTATCATTAGTACAGTGTCATTGCTTTTTATTAGCACTGATGACTGTATTAGTGTCACTGGGGATGTCAGTGACATCAAGTCAGTTCCCCACAGTATCAGAATGCCCGCCACAGTCCTGCTATAAGTCACTGATTGCTGCCATTACTAGTATAAAAAAAAAATAATAATTCCAGTATATATACCGCCATTTGTAAACGCTATAACTTTCACGGAAACCAATTAATTTACACGTATTGGGATTTTTTCTTTTTTTAGCAAAGACATGTCACAGAATACATTTTGGCGTACATTTATCCCGAAATTACTGGACATGTTTAATAGCAAAAAGTAAAACATTTTTTTTTCAAAATTGTCGGTCTTTTTTGTTTATAGTGCAAAAAATAAAAACGCACAGGTGATAAAATACCACCAAAAGAAAGCTCTATTTGTGGGAAAAAAGGATATAAATTTAATTTGGGTAAAGCATTGCATGACCGTACAATTGTCAGTTAAAATAATGCAGCACCCAGGGGTGGACTGACCATTTGGAAACTTGGGCACTGCCCGAGGGCCTGGGGTCAGTAGGGGGCCCCATGAGATGCCCCTGGTACCTTTTTCATAGGCTTTGAGTTTGGGCAAGGACACAGGGGCCCCATGATCCCCTATCGCCCGGGGGGCCCCATGAGTTGTCAGTCCGCCCTGGCAGCACCATATCGTAAAAAATGGCCTGGTCAGGAAGGGGGTAAATCCTCTAGAGGGCAAGTGGTTAAAGTAGATCAGTGCTGAAGAGCAAAAATGCCCTGGTCATGAAGGGGGTAAAACCTTGCAGCTACTGAAGTCAAGTGAACCAAAGAAATGACAAGTGCCTACTGTGTTTTACTTCAAAGATTTTTTTTTTTTTCTTTTGCGTGTATTGTAAAAATATAACTGACAGGCTACAGCAAATGTTTTGGTTCATTGACGGCGGCCATTTTCCCGAAGACCACTGTATTCTACTGAGGAAGTGAAGTCATATCCGCCTTAGCACACATCGTCTTCTAGTGTACAGTCCACATCCGGAGGAAGTAAGCGGAGAACCGGCGTAGCTTAGAATGTTTACAATGATGGCCCACAGCTCGGGAGGTTTGCTGTTCCTCTGTTCATTATGGTCGCTGTGCTCGGCTGATTTGGAGACTATAAGCCCGGGGTTTGGAGGAGACAAGTTTAAGGTGGAAGGCCGAGCCGTCGTGCCTGGAGTGAGGCCTCAGGAGTGGGTGAGCCGGGCCCGGGTGTTAGTGGACGGAGAGGACTACATCGGCTTCCTGCGGTAGGTGTGCCCTGCTCGCTCTCTGACCTTCAGCCAGCTTCACGGTGCAGACTGGCATGCTTTCAATGCTCAGGCTCCATTCACACCTTTTGCATTTTGTAAACGCTTGCAAAATCGCATCTGTTTACAAAAAGCAGTAACAATGCGTCACGTTTGCAGTGCCTTTCACTTTTAACTGCAGCCCAGACGTGGCATGCTGGCGCATTTTGCCAGGAGTGAAAACAAGCAACAAACGCTGCAAAATGTGTGGTCAAAAATAAACGTGGCAGAAAACGACGTGAGCGACTTTGTGCCAGATTGGCTGCCCTATGTGTGTGACATAAAAATTGCATGTGCAGCAAATCCGCCATGCGAATGGAGATGACGCACAGCTTAGGGGTTTTCCATGTTGTCTTCAGCCGCATTCACATCTAGTGTTTGCTGCACTGAGCAGCCTAGCCATCCCAATGGGCTGCGCTACACGCGGTAAATGCAACAAAGTAGCTTGCGTAGCTTCTTGCTGTGTTTATTTTTGCTTTTTTTTTTTGTCGCGTTCCTGTGACAGACTGCTCATCTGCTTGGCACGTTTGAGCTGCCATTAACAATAAATTTCACCACAAACCGGACATGTTTTTACTGTGTTTTGTAAATCTGAAATTTTGCTTTTGTTTAGAAGATGTGAAGGTGTGAATGAAGCTTAAAGGTGTGGTTTTGGTTCAGTAGACTTCAATGGACATGCTGCAGAGACACATGTAGTGAGTTTTCTGATGCGTGTTTTTTTTTTCCCAAATAGGAAAGTATTGACTTTAACCGCTTCCTGATTGCCCTATAGCAGAAGTACTGCTACAGGGTGTCGGAGCTGTGCAAAATCACGTATATATGTAATTTTGTATTTCCGGGTAGGGAGCTCGTGCCGCCACTGCCGGCTACAGCCATCGATCACCGAGTCCTGGTCAAATATTCCCCGCTGGCACCCAGCGATCACCGAGAAACACTGACAGGAGAGGTCTGTATACACCAAACACATAGCTACAGTTGCAAGAAAAAGTATGTGAACCCCTTGGGATTACGTTGAGTTTTCCATGAATTGGGCATAAAATGTGCTCTGAATGTCATCTAAGTCACAACAATAGAAGAACACAGTCTGCTGAACATAATACTACACAAACATTAGATGTTGCCATGGTTTAATTGCACATAACATGTAAACATTCCACAGTGCAGGAAGGAAAAAGTATGTGAACCTTTGGACTTAATAACTGGTTGACCCTCCTTTGGCAGCAATAACCTCAACCAAACGTTTCCTGTAGTTGCAGATCAGACCTGCACAACGATCTGGAGTTATTTTGGACCACTCCTCTTCACAAAACTGTTTCAGTGTAGCAATATTCTTGGGATGTCTGGTGTGAATCGCTCTCTTAAGGTCATGCCACAGCATTTCAATCGGGTTGAGGTCAGGACTCTGACTGGGCCACTCCAGAAGGCGTATTCTGTGCTGTTGCAGCCATTGTTTTGTTGAATTACTTGTATGCTTTGGGTCATTGTCCTGTTGCATCACCCATCCTCTGCGGAGCTTCAGTTGGCGGACAGATGGTTGTACGTTTTCCTGCAAAATGTCTTGATAAACTCTGGAATTCATTTTCCCATCAATGACAACAATCCGTCCAGGCCCTGAGGCAGCAAAGCAGCCCCAAACCATGATGCTCCCTCCGCCATGTTTTACAGTGGGGATGAGGTTTTGATGTTGGTGTGCTGTGCCTTTTTTCTCCACACAGTGTTGTGTGTTCTTCCCAAACAACTCAATCTTGGTTTCATCTGTCCACAGTATATTTTGCCAGTAGTGCTGTGGAACATCCAGGTGCTCTTTTGCAAACTTCAAACGTGCTGCAATATTCTTTTTGGACAGCAATGGCTTCCTCCGTGGTGTCCTCCCATGTACTCCATTCTTGTTTAATGTTTTCCTTATTGTAGATATGTCAACAAAAATGTTAGCATGTGCCAGAGATTTCTGTAGGTCTTTAGCTGACACTCTGGGATTCTTCTTTACCTCATGCAGCATTCTGCGCTGTGCTCTTGCAGTCATTTTTACAGGACGACCACGCCTAGGGAGAGTAGCAACAGTGCTAAACTTTCTCCATTTGTAGACAGTCTGTCTTACCGTGGACACATGAACATCAAGGCTTTTGGAGATACTTTTGTAACCCTTTCCAGCTTCATGCAAGTCAACAATTCTTGATCGTAGGTCTTCTGAGAGCTCTTTTCTGCGAGGCATGGTTCACATCAGACAGTGCTTCTTGAAACCAGTAAACCCAAAACAGAAGTGTGTTTTTTAAGGGCAGGACAGCTGTCAGCAACACATCCAATATCATCACACTGATTGGAGACAAGGTTGGCTCACTCCTGGCTCCAATTAGCTCTGGCAGAAGTCATTAAGCTAGGGCCTCACATACTTTTTCCTCCCTGCACTGTGAATGTTTACATGTTATGTGCAATTAAACCATGGCAACATCTAATGTTTGTGTAGTATTATTATGTTCAGCAGACTGTGTTCTTCTATTGTGACTTAGATGACGTTCAGAGCACATTTTATGCCCAATTCATGCAAAACTCCACGTAATCCCAAGGGGTTCACATACTTTTTCTTGCAACTGTAGGCACGCATCAGTCCCATCAGCACCAGCATAGCAGAGCAATATAAAGCAGCGTGCTTGCATAGTAAAGAACACACAGACAACATTTATTTATTACAGGTGCTTATATAGCGCCATCAATTTACACAGTGCTTTACATATATATTGTACATTCTCATCAGTCCCTAACCCTCAACATAGTAAAACAGCACACAGTTAACCCTTTGATAGCCCCAGATGTTAACCCCTTCCTGCCCATTGTCATTAGTACAGTGTCAGTGCTTTTTATTAGCACTGACCACTGTATTGGTATTACTGGGGATGTCCGTGACACCAAGTCAGTTCCCCCCAATGTCAGAATCCCTCTAAGTTGCTGGTCGCCTCCATTGCTAGTATTAAAAAAAAAAAAAAAAAAAGTACAAGTTAAAACTTTCATGTAAACTGATTAATTTACACGTATTGGGATTTTTTTTTTTTTTTTAGCAAAGACATGTAGTAGAATACATTTTGGCCGAAATTTGATTTTTTAAAAAAATTTTGACTTGGCATGTTTAATAGCAAAAGTCAAAAATATATATTTATTTTTTCAAAATTGTCAGTCTTTTTTTGTTTATAGCGCAAACAATAAAAACCGTGCTGGCGATCAAATATCACCGAAAGAAAGCTCTGTTTGTGGGGAAAAAAAGGACATGATTTTCATTTGGGTGCAGCATTGTATGGCCATGCAATTGTCAGTTAAAGTAACGCAGCGCCGTATCGCAAAAAATGGCTTGGTCAGGAAGGGGGTAAATCTTATGGAGGGAAAGTGGTTAATGCAACTTTGCTGTCGTTTTGATGCAACCTTGGATGGGTGCAACTTTTTTTTTTTTTTTGTGCTTATAGGAATGTATGACAGTTCTGTTCATGTAGTGTGAATTTGATGCGACTTTACACTGTGGCACTGAAGTAGCATCAAAGTAGCATCCAGGTTGCTTCAAAGGCGCACCCATCCAAAGTTACATCAAAGTGGCATCAGTCATTACTTTGCTATCGGGAAGAAGAAAACGCAAACGTGTTAAACGCATCAATCACCACACAGAGATGTGAATCTATCCTTAACCACTTCAGCTCCGGAAGATTTACCCCCTTCATGACCAGGCCATTGTTTTTGCTATGTGGTGCTGCGTAAATTTAATTGCATGGTCATGTAATGCTGTACATAAATGAAATTTAGTTAATTTTGTTCTCCACAAATAGAGCTTTGTTTGGTGATATTTGGTAATCAGTGTTTTTTTTTTTTTTTTTGTGCTATAAATGAAAGAACAACAAAAATTAAAAGAAAAATTTTTTTTTTTGCTTTCTGATATAAAACATATTCAATAAAAATAAAAAAAAAATAAGCGTCTTCATAAATTTAGGCCAAAATGTATTCTGCTACAAATTTTTGGTGAAAACACATCCCAATAAGCGTATATTGATTGGTTTGTGCAATCGTTATAGCGTCTACAAACTGTCATATATACGGGATTGTTTTTTTTTAAACTAGTAATGGCGGCGATCAGCGACTTATAGCAGTTAGTGACAGTCTAACACTAACTGACACTTTGTGGGAACCAGAGACACTAATACAGTAATTAGTGCTAAAAATATACACAGTCACTGTATTAATGATACTGGCTGGGAAGGGGTTAAATATCTAGGGCAATCAAAGGGTTAACTGTGTGCCTAGCTATGTGTTTTGTGTATACAGTGTGCTGTTTTTACCAGGCAAGCTGCTAGATTTTATTCCCTTTGCAGGGAAAGAAAATCTACCAGATCGTTGCTGACAGGACACCGCTCTGCCTTGTCTACAAAGGCAGAGCTGTGTTCTGTCAGTGTCCTCGACGATCAGCGGGTGTTGGCATCAATCACAACAGAAGCGTGCACGCCCCCTATGTCAGAAGTGCGATATCACGGTTAGTAAATCTGCTATTGGGCAGATGGCAAGTGGCTAATTTGTAGGGATTTCCTCTCGCTTCCTTTTTGGCTATGGAACAGGAAGTGAAGGGAAATCTCCGCAATGGGACACAGATGGCGAAAGAAATTCGGACAGGGGTTGTAACCCTCCCTTGCTCTATCCAAAATTTGAAACAAAAGTTTTGCTCATAGTTCTGCTTTAATCAGATATTGCCCCACTGCCACGCCCCAATCCTGTGCATTGCATGAGGTTGCGGTGCAGCCCCGTTAGACTCAGCGGGTGACAGGTTCCACTTTTCAAACTTTGCACCCTGAGTGACCATGCTGTGAAGCAAAGCATCAAGGCCGCTGCATCGGTACAGCCCCATCCAGCTCTGTTGGGACAGTCCAGGTGAGTGGCCTGGAGAGGTGGTAGAACACAGCTCAGCCACTCATTTTCCATTGGTAAGAGAGGGAATGGGGAGGATGCAGCTTGGTGTGGCTCAATTAAAAGGAAAAAAAAAAAAGGATTTGGGACTTTTTTTTTTTCTCCCATTTCTCGCAGATAGGGCAGCCCATTGAAATGAATGGGCTGCCCAACCCATGAAATGAGCACGCACAGATCTGAACCAAGCATTAAAGTGATATAAAAGGTACTTTTTTTTTTTGCTGAAAAATGAAGGCAAAAAAAAAAAGGTAATACTTGCTCTCCACGCTTTCTTGCGGGTGCCCCCATGTGGGCATGCTTCCGAGCCGGGCTCTGTGAGTACATAGAAACACTAAACGCAGCTCGGCCACACCCCCTGCTCTCACCTCACAGGATTTGACTGGACAGCACAGGGTCGTGAAAGGAGACTGGGGGCGGGGTGGCCAGAACAAGTGGTTACTTAACCACTTCAAGACCGCAATCTGTACATATACATCACGGTTTTTATGTGGGTTATGACTGCAGCAGTATGACATAACCCCTGTATTAAAAATTTTCTGCAGCCGCTGCTCTTTCTCATAAAAGTGATCCAGGAGGCTAATTAGACTCTGGATCAATTTTAGAAGCAACCCCCCTCACGCTGCTTTCCGGTGGTTCTCGGGCTTACCTTTCTCTTTGGGAACTGAGCTGACAAGTTGTGGCAGCTGGCCATAGAGGTTAGCAGAGACCTGACCGCCTCTGTGATCTGGGAGACTGGAAATAACGTCTTCTGGTTTAGGGCAGATGTAAATAATACATATTACTTAGTCTGTTGGAAAGTCCGACAACTATGGTGTGTATATATAGGTGTATATATACAGTGCTCAGCATAAATGAGTACATCTTTTTTGAAAAAGTAAGATTTTAATCAATATCTTAATGAACACAAAAACAATTTCCAAAATTTTTACAAAACTGAGTTTTATATAACATTTGTTTAGCTCATTAAATGAAAGTAAGGTTACTAATAGAACTTAGATTACAAAATCTTCAGTTTTATTCAAATTGATGCAAAATGAATACACCCCACAGCAAAAACTACTACATCTAGTATTTTGTATGACCTCCATGAATTGTAAGGACAGCACAAAGTATTCTAGGCATGGAATGAACAAGTTGACGACATATTGCGACATCTTTTTCCATTCTTCGAGAGAGATCTCTTTTAGTGCCTGGATGCTGGATGGAGAGTGATACTCAACTTAGATGTTCGATTGGGTTCAGATCAGGAGACAGAGTACTTGGCCACTGATCCACTTTCACCCTGTTGTTGTTCAGAAATGCAACAGTGGCCTTAGATGTGTGTTTTGGATCGTTCTCATGTTTGAAACGTGTGCAGCAGCCACGGGCACAGAGTGATGGTAGCACCTTCTCTTTCAGCATAGATTAGTACATATGTGAATTCATGATACCATCAGTGAAGTGCATCTCCCCGACCCCAGCAGCACTCATGCAGCCCCACGGAAGGACACTGCCACCACCATGTTTCACTGTAGGCACCATGCATTTTTTCTTTGTACTCCTCACCTTTGCAACACCATACAGTTTTGAAGCCATCCATTCCAAAAACATTTATCTTGGTCTCATAACTCCAGATTAAAGAGTCCCAGTGGTTTTCTTTTCAGCATGGACCCTGGCAAATTCTAGGCAGGCTTCATTGTGTAGGGGCTTTATGAGAGGCTTCTTTCGTGGACGACACCCATGCATACCATTCCTCTGCAGTCATTGTGTCGTGGGAAACAATCACCCCAGTTTGGCTTTTTACTTCTTTAGCTAACTGCAGTGAACTTCCATGGCAGTTTTCTTCAACCCTTCTCACCAGAAGATGCTCCTGTCAACGTGTTAACTTCTGTGGAAGGCCTGGGCATCTCTGTGAGATGGCTGCATTTCCATCTTTGTTAAAGTTTTGTATCACTTTTGCTACAGTATTCTGACTGATAAGTAAAGCTTTGCTGATCTTGTAACCTTCACCTTTCTTGTGTAAAGAAATTAATTTTCTTTGACACTTCTCTTCCATGTGGGCCATTGCTGACAGCATGAAATGGGAAGGGGTTTTCTTTGAGTAATAACCTACTGTCTGCAGGATGCCTATTTAATGAATACAGACTCCCCTGTAGTTGAATTCTTGTTAATTAGGATTTTGTTTTCTAAAATTTAGCTTTGCTCTTAAGGGTCCTTTCACACGGAACGGACCCCTTTAGTGAATCCGCTAGCTCAGCGGGGGATCTCTCTTCTGAGCAAGAGGATGACAGCTCTGTGTCAGCTCCGTTGCTGCAGAGCAGACACAGAGCTGCTTGCTCTCCTCTACAATCACTTTCAATACTTTGGCAAGTGTCACCACAAATATTTGCCTTTCACTCTCGTGGTTGGCAAAAAAGCTTCCTGGGATACTTTCCCCAAAAGTTAAGGTTTTATGACATATCTGTTGGGGTGTGCTAATTTATGCTGAGCACTGTATATCTGAAAATTAATCAATCTTGATGTACTGTTTCTTGAGGCCCAAAAATGTCACGACAGTACAGATTTCTTGAGGCCCAAAAAAATGTCAGGACGCTACAGATCTCTCCCAAATGACCCTTTTTTGGCAAGTAGACAGTCCAAGGTATTTGGTAAGAGGCATTGTGAGTTTTTGATTTTTTTTTTTTTGTCACAATGTTTTGGAAAATGTTTTTTTTTTTTTGTACATACTGTCAACAGTGCAGTACAGCATCATCATATAACTAGTGTGGTGGTGATCAGGGACACTGACACAGTATGTAAAAGAAAAAAAAATTCTTTACTGTTACACTGCAGGATCATATCCAGGATCACTATGGGGAAATGATTAGGATTTTTTTTATGCACACTATGATCGCTTATAACTGTGATCACTGTTGTAAGCAACCATATTTTCTGAATGAAATCCATTCATTTAGTGTGTACTATTTTGAGTAGCTGTTATTGGCCACAGCTAATCACATGGTACAGCTGGGCTCTGATTGGTCCTGTCTGTACCATGGGATCACAGAGATCAACTCAATAGTATACAATGAATTGGGAGTCATCTATTGTCCCAATGTTCTTTTTGTGAATTGGTGCCCAAAACTGAACTGCATATTCCAGATGTGGTCTTACTACTGATTTTAATCCTCTCTTGTATTAAAAGAGGTATAGACTCGAGAGATCATTTTATCCCTGTAAAATGATCTCTCTCTCTCTTTTAATACAAGAGAGGATTTTTGCTCGCTTTAGAAACCGCAGCTTGGCATTGCATGCCATTTAAGGTTATGATTTGCCAGAACTCCCAGATCCTTCTCCACCATCTTGTTATATTGGCATCTGAAAGTTAGTACAATATATTAGGTAGCAAGTAAACAATATTGTCCAAGAAGCTGATGTTTTGGAAGCAGAAAAAATGGTCATCAACGCCATTCATGTCGGTGTTACTGAACACACACCTTCTACCTAAACATTGTTGCTGACCTAAACATCGTTATTGTGGAAATGGTGTTCCCTTCTGGCAGTGGCCTCTTTCAGCTGGATAATGCACATTGCAAAATAGTTTAAGAATGGTTTGAGGAACATAACGGGTTCAAGGTATTGACTTGGCTTCCAAATTCTCCAGATCTAGGTCCAATCAAACAACTGTGAGATGTGCTGGAAGAACAAGTTCGATCCATGGAGGCCCCACCTTGCAACATACAGGACTTAAAGGATCTCTACTGACAGCATGGTGCCAGATCCCACAGCAAACCCTCAGAGGTCTAGTGGCATCACTGCCTCAGTGGATCAGGGCTGTTTTGGTGGCAGAAGGGGGACCTACTCAATATTGGGTGGGTGGTCACAAAGTCATGGCTGATTAGTGTATTTGGAATGGCTCTGTTTTAATAAACTTATGTCTGGACTACTACTCTGGGTTTTGTGCTCCATTCTTATTTCTTTGGTCCCTTCAGCATAGACTACTGATAGTTTGTGCTCCAGTCATATTTCTTTGATTCCTTCAGCATACATGATTTGCCAGCATAATGCTTACAGCATTTACCTCCATTTAAATTTATCTGAACCCACAGGATCCTCAACTATTTTTTATTTGACCCAGCTCCGTCTACTCTGACATTTTTTGGGAGGAAAAGAAGAGGCTTTAACCCTTGCTCACTTTGTCCAAAAAAAACAAACAAACATTTTTTTTTGTTAACATTTACAAGATTCCTTGTTGCTTTTTAGGATGGATGGAAGCTTTGTGGTCCATGATGTTCCTCCAGGTTCCTATGTAGTAGACGTTGTGTCTCCAGCTTATCGATTTGAGCCAGTCCGAGTGGATATAACTTCAAAGGGTAAAATGAGGTAATTAAGAGCCTTTGTGATTGAAACCTTTAGCACAGGCTAGCTCAAAATTCTTTATGAATGCTATCATCGAAGTTCTGTCTGCTTTCATGTACACAGGTTTTGTTGTTAGTAGGGACGCACCGATAACCTTTTTTTCAATAGTACGATACCGAGTACCGTATTGTTAAATTTTTTTTTTTTGTCCAATACATTTTTATTAGTCTCCAAAGTAAGACAGACCCACAAAAGGTATAAATCAACATATTCACCAGTGGTTCACAGAGCCTAATCCTATCCAATACACAGTAGTGGTAAATGCAAGCAACAGTACACATGGTATCATAAAGTGAACTTTATACATAATAATTTTTAAAGCGGAAGTGAATGCAAAAAAAATGAAAAAACAGCTGACAGTAGGGTCTTTATGACAGAGAAGACCCGATTGGTCTCTTCTGTTCTCTCTGCCTGTTAGTGGTAAAGTACACTGAGCAATTTATGGCGGCACTGTTCTGTGCTGTGATTTTGTGGCTCCGTTGTACATGTGCAGCAGTGTCATCATTACAGCCTGGCTATTCAATCAGCTGAATGGACCAGACCGAGAAGGAAGACTGGTTGAAGATGGCAGCAGGTGACCAGCAGGAACCCTTACAGCGCAGTGCTGGAGGGGATCGTTTGACAGGTAGGTCAGCCATAATGTGCCAGTATGCACAACGTATTAGCACATTCTGGCAAACACCTTTGGGAGACCATTTAAAAAAAAATAGAGTATAAATCTGCTTTAAATGCAGGGAATGCCTCTGGAAGGCCGTACACCGTTGATGTCACCAGTGCATGTGCACTGCGCTCTCAATGGACGGTGTACTGTTCATTGAGAGAGCCGTGCCATGGCTGGAACTCCTGCATGCATGTGCAGGAGACACGTCATTGTGGCTCAACCAGTCAAATGGCTGCTGTCTGGGAGCCCGGAAGGAAGACCGGGCGGAGATGGAAACCTTGGAGCTGTGACAGCGCTCCACTGGACGGTTACATTTTCCGGTAAGTCTTTCATAACTTGCTAGTATGCGATGCATACTAGCATATTATGCTCTTAAATCTATAAAACTTCTCTCGGCAAGTTATTTTTTTGTGGTTTACTACCTCTTTAACCCGAAATTGACGAGCTGTAAACGGATTTAAAACAACGCCTATGGACATTTTTGGGTACATTTTCATGGGAATGTGCAGTTTGACATGTGTTTTGACATGTTTTTTTATTCAATGCAACCTATTCTTATATACACTATTAGGCAAAAGTTTTAGACAGATGTGGAAAAAATGCCGTAAATTAAGAATGCTTTCAGAAATAAGTGTTAATGGTTTGTTATCAATTAACAAAATGAAGTAAATGAACAGGAGAGAATCCAAATCAACTCAGTATTTGGCGTGACCACCTTTTCCCTTCAAAACAGCATCAGTTTTTCTAGGTTTCCTTTTACACAGTTTTTGAAGGAGCTTGGCATGTAGTTTGTTCATTCATCTAAGGGAACTAACCACAGAACCTCTGTGGATGTAGGCTGCCTTAAATCCTTCTGGTTCACTTCCAGGACTTCTTGTTCTTCTTTACACTGAAGATAATTCTTAATGACATTGGCTGGAAGTTTGGTGGTGTTGTCCTGTTGCAGAATAAATTTGGAGCCAATCACACACCCTGATGGTTTGGCATGATGGATAAGTATCTGCCTGTACTTATCAGCACCGAGGACACCATTGATCCTGACCAAATCTCCAACGCCATTTGTAGAAATGTAGCCCCAAACTTGCTAGGAACCTCCACCATGCTTCACTGTTGCTTGCAGACACTCATTATTGTACCGCTTTCCAGCCCTTTGGTGGACAAACTGCTACAGCCAAATATTTCTCCCTTTGACTCATCAGTCCAGAGCACCTGCTGCATTTTTTCTGCACCCCAGTTCCTATGTTTTCGTGCATAGTTGAGTCGCTTAGCCTTGTTTATGTGTCAGTAGTATGGCTTTTTGGCTGCAATTCTTCCAAGAAGACCATTTCTGGCCAGACAGAGAGTAGTAGGGGTACCTGGGTCCCACTGGTTTCCACCAATTTTGTGCTGATAGCACTGCTGGACATCTTCCGAAGTCAAAGGGAAGTAGGCATGGTGTGTCTTTCATCTGCATTAAGTTTCCTTCCTTCTTTGAAATCTTTGCAGTATAACTACCATGTGTCTTGCTGCTGTACACAGTCTTGCCATGGTGTATACCTGTGATATGAAACGTTCTTCCACAACCCGTAGCAGAGTTTCCCTGTTTCTCACCCAGTATTAAGCATTTTCTGTTTCAATTAATGACTGTTTTTTAAATATACATACAGTATGAAATTGATGATCTTTAGCACCTGGTTGGTATAATTGGTTAATCATACACTGACTAATAAGACAAAATCCCTGACTTTGTGCAAGTGTAAGATTTGATGGTGGTTTGAAGCCATTCTCACTTTCCAGCATTTCTTCACACGTGCCTATGCCTTTTGCACAGTACTGTACTCTTTAAAAAAAAAAAAAAAAAAAAAGGCAGCAAAAGGGTTAAATGATACTGCATCTAAAGCCTACATTTTATTTTGCATTTTGGATAAAATAGGGGATGGTTAAAGTTCCTGCCAGGTTTTTTTCTTTCTTCTTTTTTTTTTTTTTTTTACTCCAGTGAGAAGTGATAGGAAATTTCTATTTTAGGCCTCATTCACACAGATACTGAGGCCTTGTACAGTATGAAAAAGCCATTTGTTTCTGGGGCTGGAGTTACATAGCAGCCAATGCTACTAAAAGGGGATGCAAAGGCTGTATGAACACAGACCACAGTTTGAGGACATGCAGCCACCCCTGCACATCTGCCAAAATACAAATTCACACTGTCTGCATTTGGAGTAGGGCACCTGCTTCTTTGTGTGTCAAATTAGGACATGTGGTTGTTTTGTACAGTGGCTGCGTAACGTTCAGGAACATGGGCTGCCTCCACAAAACTCCAGCTACAGGCCTCAGCAGAAACACTTTTTTTTAATGACATTTTTTAAAATCACGTTGCACCACTTTGTTACCATTTTTGTTTTGGTGCGCATGAAAGCAAGTTGTTTTGGGGTATCATTAAGAATTATTGGGACAGCCGTGTGCCTGTATTTATTTTTGCATGATTTTCCTCACGTTTCACAAACATTAACCTAAATTTTAGTGTGTGTGTGATATATTTGAAATGTATTTGAATTTTCCACATGCAATATTTTAGCTTGAATTACTGTAATCTATATATGACCAGTATTACTGAATTTGTAATTCTGTCTGTAACTCTCTCAAGGGCCAGATATGTAAATCACATCAAAACTTCAGAAGTTGTTCGGTTACCATACCCTCTCCAGATGAAATCTTCAGGTCCTCATTCCTATTTCATCAAGCGAGAGACCTGGGGGTGGACAGACTTTCTTATGAACCCAATGGTAGGTTACTTTGTGCTGAATCAGCTTGTTGTTTGATTTCAGTGTATTAAAACAGAACTTCAGTTTTGTAGCAATCCTATTGTTTCTACATTCCATTTGATGAGCAGTTTTTCCTCCCTTTTTAACATGTATCTGAAGCTTTCTACCTTAAAGTGGAAGTAAACCTTTTGAAAGGAAAAATGAACAAAGCATAAACTCATCTAAAACGTACCTGCCTCAATCTATGGCACCTGATGTGGATCCTGGCTGCTCTCTCCTTCCCCTGCAGTCTGTATGTGTCACTTCTGACAGTTTATTCGAACACTAGGCAATCCATTGTGGTGGCCCCTCCCCTTACCTGCACACAGAAGGTGATTGACAGCCTCAGATATGCATGTTTCCAATGAAACTGTGTAGTGGGGAATGTGTCCATTCCCTCCACTTAGTGTGTGACATCATATCCTTTGCCCCTATTCCAAGAAAGCTGAGCAATACCATCTGATCTGTGTGCTTTGAAAGTCTTTTGAGTAGAGAGGGCTGCAGATACACAGCGATGCAGAAAATATAAACTATACAACTATACATAACTATACCTGTGTATCTCTTGACACTAGTCACTTTAGTGGGCTTATGGATGTGCAGTTCATATCGGCCGATGCCCAGGACATGCAGTTCTAAGTGCCGGGCAGGTGGGGTTTTTCTGCACATTTTAGCTCTGCTGCGGGAAAGCAGCAGGGCATATATGTGGCCTCACGGAAGTGGGCCTTTATCTATGGGGTTGCATATATCCCTCTCTGTTCTGGGCGCCGCTTAAGACAGGCAGGGGGGTAGTAGGAATAAAACCGTGCACTGTTAAATCCTTATATAATTATGGTTTTGGTTAAAATTATTAGGTTTTTTTTTTTTAGTAGTCTTTTTAAATATGTCCGCACCCCTGCTTATGTGAAGGTTTATTAACCCTTTGAAACATAGACCTCTGGGCGGAATCACATAGAGCCAGCACATCACTGCAGTAACACCTACTTCAAACTGATTGACATTTAGCAGACATCATTGCTGTCTAAGCTAATAACACACTAATACACAGTTTTTCCACAATGGGAACAGTACAAGACTGATTTTTAGATGCTGTATTGCTTGTATTTGCAGTCCACATATCTGTTTTCTGCACAGTTGTGCGCTGTGTGTGTTTTACTGTGTGTGCTGTGTGCTGTTTTACCTTGGAGTCATGCTGTTTTGTATTTCTCTGCTGTTGCAAGAAATACAAAACAGCATGTCCTTTGCTGGCAGGAGAAAGACCTGTTTTTTTTTTTTTTTTTTTTTTTTTACACACAGGTCTCTCCCCTGTCAGCTTTGCACGGTGATTGCAGGGTGCCGGCGGGGAATCTCTGGTTGGGACTCAATGATTGACATGCCTAGCCGCCAATGGCGGCACGCATGTGCACGTTCTCTACCTGGAAATGCAAATTACGTGTATGTATATGATTTTGTACAGCCCTGCTGCCCTGTAGCAGTATTTCTACTATAGGGCGGCAGGTTAAATAACCGCCATGCCAAAAAAAATCTGCTGACAAGCATTTTTGTAATTGACATCTCCAGGTATCCCTAGTATCCTTCCGGATGTGCTTGTAAATCCCAGTTGGCAGCCCACAAATTCTGCAGCACCTGTACTTCCCCCCCATTCACTGCTCAACCCGGAATTCAGGTGGAAACAGCAAATTTAACTATTCCTGTTTTTCATGGAAGATTTGTTTGCATTGATTGTGGATGAAAGCATTTTATATGCACAACAATTTATCGCCGGCAACCCAAATTCAAACCTTGCCAGACCATTCGCATGGAAACTCATTACAGTTTCTGAATTTATATTTTTTTTGGGCCTAACCCTCAACATGGGCATTACTAAAAAAAAATGAATTGCTGTTGTATTGGTCAACAGAACCAATTCATCATATGCCCGTGTTCACCTCTGTTGCCATGGCCAGGCATAGGTATGAGAATATAATGTGTTTTTCAGATCTACTCTCTATATTAAATCCATGTCCCATGGTTGTCTATGGCAAGCAGAGCACTAGGCAGCTTCGTAGCGTTGCTCATCCATCCATCCATTTATTAAAAGGCGAACAGTGCAGTGCATCACCAGGGAAGGATTTTTATTTTATATATATGTGTAACTTTCCACTTATTTATTTTTCACTGTGCACACTTCTTATGGTTCATGTGATTTTATGATTGTCACTAGTTTCAATGGTTTTATTTATACACATATATATTTATATATGTTTTTATAGACCTTTCGTGTTTACTTACACTATGTCAATTGCCCCTGTGACTCCTCCACCTGCACAGGGGAGTGTCCAGGATGGCCCATGTGACCTTTGGTTTAACTAGTAGTGAGCATATAAAAGAGGGAGCAGACATTTGGTCAGTTGGCTCTGAGGAAGAGGCAAGTCCTTGAAACGCGTCAGCCTTTTGGATGTCTATACTCCTATTGCGGACTGTTACTCAGCGCAGTGTTGACCCAGCTGGTCCATTTGAGGGCAGCAAGGTGTGCATGTTCCAGGACATTCCTTATGTGGTTGTAGCCTGCATCGAGTCCATCCCCAAGCGCAGGAGCATTTGTGTTTGCTGGTTCTTAAAGATGTAGAAGACCTGTGAAAGGACAACAGGCTATACTTATAAGTTTTGGATTTACAAGGGAAAAAATAGTCACGTGGAGCCCCTTGGATGCCCAGACTACATGGGGAGCAGTGGCAAGATAGTTTGGGACTTGGTGTCATCCTTTTTCCATATGGGTACCACTTGTACGTGGACAATTTTTATTCAAGCGTGCCACTATTTAGACATTTGTTCAATCTTGGAACTGGCTCTTGTGGCAAAGTGTGACCTAATGTGTGCCCACCATTAGAAGTGGGTGGATGCAGGGCGTTATATTCTAATGGTGGGCATACCACACACTTTTTCTGGCAGAGATTTCTTCTAATTTTTTCATTCAGTCCACAGGCTGCATACAAAAAAAAAAAAAAAGAACATAGCAGATATAACCAACAAGGACCAGCGATGTACTGGTACATCACTGGACTTTGGTTATACCAGGATTATGCCTTCAGCTGCAGGCATCATCCTGGTATCGTTTTTTTCAGCCGGTGATTGGCTTTCATGTAAAAGCAATCTTAGTGGCTAATTAGCTGCAGGATTGCATTACAAGCAGCGGGAGACAATGCCCCCCTCCCCTGCTGCCTTCCACGGCCTTCTCGGGCAGTCCCGTGGAAGTGTAATGAGGAAATAAAGCCCTTTTAAAAGCCTGAAGGTGCTTATTGGATTTTGGGGTCCTGTACTTGACTAAACTGCCAAAACGTCTCTCACATGTGGTGAGCAGTAAATCATTTAAGTGACAATTTTGTGTAAAAAAAAAAAAAAAAAAAAAAATTTGTCATTTTCCAAAAACTTGTGGTAAAAAAATAAATTCTTCTATTGATTCAACATGCCTCCCAGCAAATAGTTTGGAGTGTCTACTTTCCAAAAAGGGGTCGTTTTAGGGGGTGGGGGCATTTTTTGCCCAGAATTAGAAGTTTATGCCATACATCACTCACTCTTCTAACCACCTGAAGATCAAGCCTTTTCTGACACTTTTTGTTCACATGAAAAAAATCAGTATTTTTTGCTAGGAAATTAATTTAAACCCCCAAACAAATATTTTTTTAAAGCAGATACCCCAGTGAATAAAATGGTGGGTACTACAATTTTTTCATGGCACATAGTAATCGCGCAGCGATTTTTCAAAAGCAAATTTAAAAAAAAAATACACTTTTTTTACTTTTAATGCACAAAAACACAATATATTGGTCAATTATTTGGTAAATTATAAAAGATAATGGTATGCCGAGTAAACGGATACCAAACATGACATGCTTTAAAACTGCGCATGCCCCGTGCAATGGCGACAAACTGCAAACATTTTTGATATCCATAGGCAATGCTTTAAAAGCTACCATTTTAGATTTACAGAAGAGGTCTAGTGTTAGAATTACTGTCCTTGATCTGACTTTCATGGCAATACCTCACATGCATGGTGCAACCGCTATTTACATACCGGCACAGGGTCAAGGCTTGTGCACACAGGTGTGCGTGCATGGGAGGGGCGATTTTTTTTTTTTTTTTTTTTTTTTGATCACTTTTAATGCTATCACAGGGAATGCAAATATCCCCTATAACTTCAATGGGCACTGTCATATATTCGTTTTTGATAAATCTGGGATCTATCAGACTCTGGTTTATCTCCTTTGCCCTTACATTAATCAAACCAATCAAGCGAGGGGCTGAATTTTGTGTAGCCGGTCAAATTCAGGGTTACCCCAAGGATGACAGAGTGTATTGTCGTTGAAATGCATAAAACACATTATACGTTCATATCTATGCCTGCCCATGGCAGCAGAGAACACGGTATATGATGAATCGGGTCTGCGGACCAATACAACCGCAATTCATTTCTGTTCGTAACGCCCATGTTGAGGGTTAGGCCCCCAAAAAAATGTAAATTCGAAAACCGTAGTGAGTTTCCATCCGAATAGTCTGACAAGGTTTGAATTTGGGTTGGCGGCGATAAATTGTTGTGCATATAAATTTGCTTTGATCCACAATCAATGCCTACAAATATTCTGTGAAAAACAGCTCCAAAAATCAAGGAGGTATGAGAAAGACCAAGATGTACTAGACCGCTGGTGAGTACCAGTTCACCAAAAGGTAGAGCGGCACTAGTACTGGCACTCTGCTGCATATGAGAGTCATCAAAATTTACCGGCAAGTGCTAACAGGGATCAGGCCTGATTCTGCGAACACTGTGGTTTTGTGTGCAATGTATCAAGCGACCGGGGCCTACTGACACTGCACTTGCTGGGGGAGAAGGGGGGGGGGGTAAGCATAGGGGCTAATTGCAGGTGCCGGGGCTGATCCTGCTAACGCTGCGTTTTTGGGGACGCTATACTAATGTGTACGCTGGTATAGTGCTGATCTGATCAAATATATTGACCCGTTCAGACACTATACTAGCAATGGAGGTATATTGTACAGGAGCGTGCTCCTGGCAATCAAGGGGTTAAATGTGATGACTGGTGTACTGATGGGCAATTTGACGCTATCTGGGAGGGGTGTGAAAACCACAGGAGCGCTAAAAAAACCACACACACACACACACACACACACACACACACACACGATTTTGTGCACCCATGTCGCCATGTAGCAGTATTTCTGCTATAGGGCGGTCAGGAAGCGGTTACAGAAGCAGTTTGTGTTACGTCGCTGCATTACTTTAACTGACAATTGCGTGGTCATGCAACACTGCACCCAAATTAAATTTACATCCTTTTTTCCCACAAATTGAGCTTTCTTTTGGTGGTATTTGATCGCCTGTGCGTTTTTTTTTTTTTGCGTCTGACAATTTTGAGAAAAAAAAGCAATATTTTGGACTTTTTGCTATAAAACATGTCCAGTAAAAAAATGTAAGAATCAAATTTAGTCATAAATTTTTGCCAAATATATTCTGCGACATGTCTTTGCTTTAAAAAAAATCCCAATACGTGTAAATTAATTGGTTTACGTGAAAGTTATAGCGTCTACAAATGGCGGGATCAGCGTCTTATGGCGGTGATCAGTGACTTATGGCGGGACTGCGGTGGACATTTTGACACTGGGGGGGAACTGACTTGGGGTTACTGACATCCCCAGTGACACCAGTACAGTGATCAGTGCAAAAAATAAAACCACTGACACTGTACTAATGGCACTGGGAGGAAGGGGTTACCTTTTTTATTAAATTAAAGGGTTAACTGTGTGAGGGGAGTGTTTTACTAGTGGGTGGGGGGGGTGTACTTCACCGAAACACGCTGATCCCGAGAGATAAAGTCTTCTCTAAGGTTCAGCGTGCTCTAAACTGACAGCACGGCTGCAGTGTTTACATTGCATCTCTGCTATCTGTCAGTGATTACCGGTAATCGCCGACACTCGGAGGCTAATGACCCGCCGGGATCCGGTGATGGACTCCCGCTGTTGCGATCTGCGGGACGGGTAGGGGGGGCACGTGCCTCGTGCCTGTGCCCCCCCCTACCCGTACCTGTGCCCTGTACCTGTTTTGCAGAGCGCCGTTAAAAGACGGCGCTGTGCGCACAGGTGCCGCCCTGCCGCAGTAAAAACACTGCTGAGGGTCGGCAAGCAGTTAACAAGAGCTAAACAAAGGGTCCAATTAGGTCCCCCTGTCTGTTTTCACTGCTAGTCCATAGGGACTACAAGGTCCACCTGAAAAACTGACTTGTCAGCATCCTGCTACCAAACTGAAAGCACACCGTGTTTAACCGCTTCCCTGCCGCCCTATAGCAGAACTACGGCAGCAGGGCTGTGCAAAATGTGTGATTTTTGCATTTACAGGTAGGGGGCACGTGCCACCATTGGCGACTACAGCTGTTGATCACCGGGACCACCAGACCAGAGATTCCTCGCCAGCACCTAGCAATCGCTGAGGAACACTGACAGTGGAGAGGTCTGTATGTAACCACAGATTTCTCCCGTTAGCACCAGCATGCTGCTTTTGTATTGCTCTGCATAACAGAGCAATACAAAGCATCATGCTTACACAGTAAAAAAACACACAGCACACATAGTAAAACAGCATACAGTCAACCCTTTCATTACCCCCAATGTTATCCCCTTCCTGCCCAGTGTCATTAGAACAGTGTCAGTGCTTTTTTATTAGTGGTGTCACTGGTGATGTCAGTGGCAGTGTCATTTCCCCCCCAGTGTCAGAATGCTCTCCGCAGTCCCCCTATAACTCACTGATTGCCATCATTTCTAGTATAAGTAAATAAATAAAAATTCCAGTATATATACTGCCATTTACAGACGCTGTAACTTTCACATAAACCAAATTATTTACACGTATTGGAATTTTTTTGAGCAAAGACATGTAGCGGAATACATTTTGACCTAAATTTATGCCGAAATTTGATTTTTACATTTTTTTTTTTTACTGGATATGTTTTATAGCAAAAAGTCAAAAATATTGTTTTTTTTTTTAAAAAAAAAAACGCAGAGGTGATCAAATACCACCGAAAAAAAGCTCTATTTGTGGGGAAAAAAGGACATAAATTTAATTTGGGTGCAGTATTGCATGACCGCGCAATTGTCCGTTAAAATAAGCCGGCGCTGTATCGCAAAAAATGGCCTGGTCAGGAAGGGGGTAAATCCTCTGGATAGCAAGTGGTTAATTACTAGTTTGTCTGCTGGGGTTATATGTATTAGAACTGCGTAACTTATATAGTGGCATCGGAGTGCTAGCCATCCATTACATTTCCAACTTATTAGTACCTAGCCCACTAAAAATAAAATCAGGGTAACATTGACATATTGGTCTTGCCAGCATTGTGTTACAACTCCAGCTATGAACTGTGCTAAATAATACCTTTTGCCATACCCACACAAATGTTATGTATAGTGTGAAGATTCTCACCTGTTTTAGTTTTCCAGCCTCTTTTTTTATTTATTTTTACTGAACAGTATGGTTTTATTATTCAATCCCTGGTTGTTAAACCATATCTTCTAGTCTGAAAACAGGGAAAATTTAACTTATATCCTATCACTTAATTTTTTTCTGTTTTAATTCCACAGGTGATGATGATGGTTCTGCCGCTACTGATCTTCGTGCTGCTTCCTAAAGTTGTGAACACTAGTGACCCAGAAATGAGACGGGTAATTACCATTTGTAATGTAGTTAATTTTGAAGTTAGATGTATTATGACTTCAACCCACCAGCACCTATTCTTTGGTGCTGGTTTGTGTCTTGCACCCTAAATTGTAACAAAAGGTTGACATGCTCATAACTGCATTACAGAGTTTGAATCCTAGACAAAAACAAAAGGTACACCAGATCTAGTGGTTATTTTTCTGCATAAATGAGCTCTGTGGGTTTAAAACTTTAAAATATGGATATTTATTTATCGACAGAGGCTGGAATTGTCATATTGGTCCTTCAGAATCTTAATATTTGCCACAGCAGTCACCATTTTTTTTTTTCATACCAGACTCCCAAGATTTGGCACTCTGAGAACGATATTTAGATATAATCATTTCAGCCTAAAGTTGCCCTAGGGCAGTCTTTGCTGTGCTGCAGGAAAAGGCAGACTAGAGAACTACACTGTTGGGAGCTTCTAACCCTCACACCACTGTGAATTAACTCTTTGAGACAGCCTGTACAAATCATTAGTAAGACCTCATCTGGAATATGCAGTTCCGTTTTGGCACCAATTCACAAAAAGGATAGTGGGGGAACTGTAGAAAGTACAGAGAAGGGCAACCAAACTGATAAGAGGCATGGAAGAGCTCAGCTATGAGGAAAGTTCAGAGGAACTGAATTTATTCTCTCTTGAGAAGAGGAGATTGAGGGGGATATGATCAACATGTATAATAAATCAGTGGTTCATATAGTGAACATGGTTTACAGTTATTCACAGGTAATCGCAGAGGACTTCTGGAGGAAAAGAGATTTATTCCCCAAATACGGAAAGGCTTCTTCACAGTAAGAACTGTGAAAATGTGGCCAGCTCAACTGGATACTAATATGTATAGGTAAAGTTGGTCCAGGGAATATTTCCCAGTTGGAGCAAATTAGATCAAGCTTTATTGGATTTTTTTTTCCTCTGGATCAACTGGGTATTGTCACGGTTTACAAGATCGCCGCCACCAACATGCGACAATCTTACGATCGTGACGTCCAATATGTCACGATCGCGGCGTCAGACCCCAGACCTTCTCACAGAACTCGTGACCAAAACCGCGATGTGAGGTGCGTAACAATAACACGCCCAGTCGCACCCTGCACAAAGATTTTCCAGCTAATGGACTACAATCTATGTACCTGCGATGTGAGCGATTGTTACTGGGTCAGGTTAATTACGCAATTAACCCCTTCACACTGCCACCACCTCCTTTTTGATCAGAGAAAGAGGAAACTTGCAATATCGCTAGAACACTATAATAATTGAAATAATCGTCCGCATAACCGCATAACCCGGTCATTGAGCAGTAGCGTCTTTTTAAAGGCAGGGATTCATAAATTTCAATTAAGAGTTATAGAAACAATTCAACACTTTCAGAAAGAGAGATTTATTACTAAAAGGGTCAAACAGGTGCAATAAAAATATTTACAGAGAAGATGTAACTAAGATATATATATGTATATATATATATATATATATATATATAGGAAACCGCATAGCACACAGCAAAGAGATAACGGAGAGAAGGGTTAAGTTACTTGCCAGTAAGCCTTTGATGTAAGCAGATCCAAGTTTTTTAGAGCAGAATGGTGCTTTGATCTCCCGCTGTTACGATGGAAAAATGGGAGATGTTTGTCAAGCCTAAGGAAGGGAGAATTGAAGTCTGTTTTAAAGTTTCCCAGCAGGGGGTGGTTCTGAAGTAACAAACCAATCCCTTGTGCAGGGAGGGATCGTCGGGCGGTTCCCTAAACTGGAGCCCACATCTTTCATCATTCATATTCTGGTTCATAACTTCCCAGCTGCACAAGCTACAGTCCACCCGTGGGTATTTTATTATGCAGATAATCCTGAGGATTATTTAGATATGAATTATGAAATTATATGTGGTACGGTTCGAGTTCTATATTTCGGCTCCCTTGATGGTCCGAGATAATTCGAATGACCCATCAAACGGTTCACCTGCTCCTAGCCAATCTGACGGGATGTCTGGTTTTAATGTAAGTCTCTCATATTCCAAGATCTGAAACATAGGGGAAAAAGTAATTCAAGAAGTGTTCATCTAATTCTGTCACCTATGCTGAGTTAAGTTTATTAGCCCAGAGTCCCTTTCAACTCCTGGGAAGGCTCTGTTATCTTTTCACGAGGTGTGAAATTACACATGTTCTCTGGGCAGTGCTGCACCACGTGGCTCCCTGCTGGGATCTGGCCTGTGACACTTAACACACACACACATCTGTCACTGTGCCTCTCAGGAAGGGAGGGTGGAACGAGAATGAGGGAATAACATATATCAGGAGGGGGAATTCCTCCGCCAAGATGGAGGTTGAGGCCAAAATGGTTGAACCGCGTCCATCTCTGATGCGCACGTTTGCGACAGGTATATGTGTCTGGAAAAAAAAGACACATGTCCATCTAGTTCAACCAGACTAACTATGTAACATTGTAAATGCTCTAATAAATCCAAAACTCAGTCATTCATAAAAGGTCTATCTCTACTTATGGACAACAGGACAATATCTGTTTCAACAATATTTCTAATACAGGGATTAAGGGAAGTGGTGTCAATATGATACAAAATAGTTCCTATCTTCCCCCCACCCCAAGGAAACTTTCTGCTAGAGAGGAGTCCTAAACTCTGTGTGCACTAATGTTCTCCTTGATAGAGGCTGTGAGATGAACATACGTATACTGTTAAGAAGGCACAAAAAATCAGTCCGCAGTGCAAGAATGAGCACATCTTTCACTGGGTTGAACACCAGGTACCAGATCTTTCCTAGACTGGGAAAACTGGTAGGTGGAATTTGAGTTGTCTATGCGTTGACCTGGGTGAATTGTCCTTCAATCATGTGATATTTCGGTAGATTTGTCTACAATGGGGCACACAGTGAATTTGATGGCCTCCTGGCACATTTAAAGGTTCCCAAGTTTGTAGTTAGAGCAAGAAATTCCTATTCTTGCCCAGTCAGACGTCAAGCAAAATGGGAAATTATTCTTTTCGACATACCAGTTTCTAACTTAACGCCCAAGCTCTGTCTTTTAACACCATAGGACTTTGTCATTCAAATCTTGAGGTTTTTTTTCTAGTCGGGCCTGGGATTGGTTCAATACATGCAGGTACTGTATATTATCACTTGATGGGGATGTGCCTTCTGTTTTGCCTAGTGTAGAAGACAAAGTCCTTAATATACTATTGGAAATTAAAAAAAAAAACTATAGCAAGTACAGAGAAACTTATATCTATAACATTATTAAACATTTGTAAATGCATATCTCTTCCTAAGGAAATGGAACAGTCAATGAACATGCTCAACTCCAACCCAGAGCTGCCTGATGTGTCTGAGTTTATGACGAGACTGTTTACTTCAAAATCTTCCAGCAAATCCAGCATAGGGGGAAAAGTTGGCAAGAGCGGAGTTGGGAAAAGGAGGTAGTGATATACTGGACCAATCCTCTACTTTACAAAGATCTGTTGAGTTGACACCAAGTTCAGTCATCTTCTTTATGAACACCTTCTCCATTGCTTAGAAATAAATTGTCGGTTATTTCCAAGATAAGATAACTGTTCACCAAGAAAAAGTCGTTCACCTGCTTTAAAATGAAAAATGTAGGCTTACCTTATTATCTCCCAGGTAAAGATTTCAAATAAACTTAAACCAACATCGTAGTTGTAAGTTTATTGAATCTTATTTTATGGTTCTAAATGATCACTTTTTCATGTAGAAGGAAAGCAAGAATAATCTAATCGTAGTTTACATGGACACCTGTATGGGTGCTGGTGATGGCCAATATTAAATGGTTAGTATCATTCTTTACAAATGAGTTATTAAAGTGATTCTACAGGTTATGACATGTTTGTTTTTTTTTTCTTAAATTACACTTACCTGCTCTGTGCAATAGTTTTGCACAGAGCAGCCCAATCCTCTTCTTTTTGGGTTCCCCACTGGCGGTCCAGGCAGAGAATGCATTAAGGTAAAAAAAAACCTGCCACTGGAACAACTTTAATGTTAATTTAATTAGTCTTCTCTTTCACACTTAATTCCCCTCAATGATCTTACCAGTGGAGCAGATCAATTGGCTTGCAGATCAATCAGGTTGCAGTCAGCTTCTAACTTCAACTTGTTTAGTTAAAAAAAACAAAAGTAGAAGCTGACTGGTTATAGTGCACAACCAGTCCAGGCTTTGGTGGCTCTGGGTTGCATACCCCTCGTTGTATGGCGTGATAAATCTTAATATATACCTTTTAATCATCATTTGTTTGTTTTGGTTTTTTTTTTTCCCCGCTCCCTTTATTCTCTCATTCTCTAGCATGTGTGTGTTCACTCAATCTCTATGATGTGTGTGTGTATGTATATGTGTGTGTGTGTGTGTGTGTGTGTGTGTGTGTGTGTGTGTGTGTGTGTGTGTGTGTGTGTAGCAGGTGTAGTAGAGTAATGGAAATCCAACAAACCCAACAGTCATGACATGCATGCTGCTGATTCTGTGTAATTGAATCACTAATTGAAAGGGGCATGTTCAAAATTATAGGTGTGTGATGTTCTATTAGTGAGGTCATTCATTCTTTGAAAAACAGGTGGCAATTATTGCCCTTATTTAAGGAAGGAAGGCAGCAAATGTTGTACATGCTGCTTACAGTGCATTTCTCTCTGAAATTCTGAGGAAAATGGGTCGTTCCAGACATTGTTCAGAAGACCAACAGCGTACCTTGATTAAAAAGTTGATTGGAGAGGGGAAAACATATAAAGAAGTGCAGAAAAGGATAAGCTGCTCAGCTAAAATGATCTCAAATGCTTTAAAATAGCAACCAAAAGCTGAAAAATGTGGAAGAAAGCAAAAAAAACTACCATTCGAATGGATAGAAGAATAGCCAAAATGGCAAGGACTCAGCCAACAATCAGCTCCAGAGAGATCAAAGAAGGTCTAAAGTTACCTGTGAGTACTGTTACAATTAGAAGACGCCTATGTGAAGCCAAGCTATCTGCAAGAAGCCCCCGCAAAGTCCCACTGTTGAAAAAAAAGACGTGCTAAAGAGGTTACAATTTGCCAAAGAGCACATTGACTGGCCTAAAGAGAAATGGCGCAACATTTTGAGGACTGATGAAAGTAAGATTGTTCTTTTGGGTCTAGTGGCGGGAGACAACTTGTCAGACGACCCCCAAACACTGAATTCAAGCCACAGTACACTGTGAAGACAGTGAAGCATGGTTGCGCAAGCATCATGATATGCGGATGTTTCTCATACTACGGTGTTGGGCCTATTTATCGCATACCACGGATCATGGATCAGTTTGAATACATCAGAATACTTAAAGAGGTCATGCTGCCTTATGCTGAAGAGGAAATGCCCTTAAAATGGGTGTTCCAACAAGACAATGACCCCAAACACACCAGTAAACGTGCAACATCTTGGTTCCAGACCAACAAGATTGACGTTATGGAGTGGCCAGCCCTATCCCCAGATCTTAATCCAATAGAAAACTTGTGGGGTGACATCAAAAATGCAGTTTCTGAGGCAAAACCAAGAAATAGAGAAGAACTGTGGAATGTAGTCCAATCATCCTGGGCTGGAATACCTGTTCACAGGTGCCAGAATTTGGTTGACTTCATGCAACACAGATGTACAGCAGTTCTCAGAAACAGTGCTTATACAACTAAATATTCATTAAGTGATTCAAAGGAAAGCAAAATCTTCAAACATTTGTCAGTTTATATAGTGAATGAGTTTGGAAAGAAGAATACAAACACTGCTACTTTTTTAACAGCCTAATATTCCCTTTTCTTCAAATTTTTTTAGAGAAATAAATTGGATATATTTTTTTCTTCATGTTTTGATTTGGAATAGCTCGGGGAATTCAAGCGTGGTACTTTCATTAATGCAGTGACCTGTGTAGTAAGTCCATCCGTGAAATTTCCTTGCTTCCACTTTGTTATAACACCACTAACCGTTTTCTGTGGAATGTTTAGTAGCAACTGGGAACAACAGCCACGAAGTGGTAAAGTGACAGTAGGCGACTTCTGCGCACTGCACACCCCACCCTGTCTGCAGAGGCAATAGCTAAAGACCTCCAAACTTTGTGTGGCCTTCAGATTAGCACAACAGTGCATAGCATGGGTTTCCATGGCAGAGCAGCTGCATCCAAGCCTTACATCACCAAGTGCAATGCAAAGCTTTGGATGCAGTGTAAAGCACGCCGCCACTGGACTCTAGAGCAGTGGAGACGTGTTCTCTGAAGTGACCAATCGTGCTTCTCTGCCTTGCAATCCGACAGACGTGCCTGGGTTTGGCATTTGCCAGGAGAATGGTACTTGGCACAATTCAGTCAGGCAAGTGTAAACTTTTTGGTGGGGGGGGGGGGTTTTATGGTGTGGGTTGTTTTTTTCAGGGGGTGGGCTTGGCCTCTTAATTCCAGTGAAGGGAACTCTTTTGGACAATTTCATGCTCTCAACTTTGTGGGAACAGTTTGGGGATGGCCCCTTCCTGTTCAAACATGACTGCACACCAGTACACAAAGCAAGGTCCATAAAGATATGGATGAGTGAGTTTGTTCAGGCCAGTCTGGGGTGGAGGAACATGAGTCCTGACCTCAACCCGATAGAACACCTTTGGGATGGATTAGAGCGGAGACTGTGAGCCAGCCCTTCTCGTCCGACATCAGTACCTGACCCCACAAATGCGCTTTTGGAAGAATGGTCAAACATTCCCCTATGGTCCACTCCTAAACCTTGTGGACAGCCTTCCCAGAAGAGTAAAAGCTGTTCTAGCTGCAAAGGGTAGGCCCCATGGACTAAGACTGGGATGCCATTAAATGTGTGTTTTAAAGTCAGACGTCTCAAAACTTTGGGCGTGCGTGCGTGTGTGTGTACTACTGACTTTCTTTGTTCTTTACTCGTGATGCACTACAGAAGGAAGTCTTGTACATCCAACCGAATTTGTAACATATAGAAAAAATGTTAACTATTGCAATTCTTATTTCTATTGTAAAACTTAAAATCAGTTGCAAAGGTTTATTTCAGAATGGTTCTCACTTTTGAGTCTGTTTTCACCAACCATGTCTTGATTATCTGCTTTTGATTTAAATTAGTTTCAAAACAATATCTTATGTGCTGAAAAAGTATAAAACAGGTTTTGTATATTTACTCTGTTTGCAGCATGCAGTAGACTGCATGTTTCACTATAAGTGGAATTCTGATTCAGGAAACGTGGCCATAGGTTTGTGCATATTTAGACTTTTTTTCATAGCATATTACACTTGTTTGGTATTTAATATTTGCATATTAATTGTATGTTTTTAAAACTATGTGGATTTTAAATGTATTTAGAACATTGAGGAATTAAAAATGGGGAATTAAAAATTATTGAATAACTATTTGTATAACCATCATTTTGAAATCCTCCCAGTGGACAAAGTGCAAATGCGAACACATATGTAGATCATAAACGTTGATCGCACCACATTTGTGAGGTATCATCGCAAACGTCAGAGGAAGAGCAGTAATTCTAGCACAAGACCGCCTGTGTAACTCTAAACTGGTAATTTGTAAATGCAATTACTTGCCCTCCTGAGGATTTACCCCCCTGCCTGACCAGGCCATTTTTTGTGTTACAGCTCTGCGTTACTATAACTGACAATTGCGTGGTCATGCTACTCTGTACCCAAATTAAATTTACATCCCTTTTTCCCCACGAATTCAGTGGTATTTGATCGCCTGGGCATTTTTTTTTATTTTTGCGCTATACAAAAAAAAATGCCAACCAATTTTGAGAATAAAACAATATTTTTGGCTATTAAACATGTCCAGTAAAAAAATCAAATTTCATCATAGATTTAGGCCAAAATGTATTGTGCTACATATCTTTTTGCTAAAATTTTTTTATACTAGTAATGGCGGAAATCAGCAAATTATAGCAGGGCTGTGGCGGGCATTCTGACACGGGGAGGAAACTGACTTGGTGTCACTGACATCCCCAGTGAAGCCAATCAGTGCTAAAAAAAAAAAAAAAAGCACTGACACTGTACTAATGGTACTAGGCAGAAAGGGGTTAACGTGGGGCGATCAAAGGGTTAACTGTGTGCTGTTTTACTCTGCTGTAAGCGAGTAAACAGGGAGAGCTGTGTTGTTTACATAAGGTTTTCCTTCCCTTCAGAGATGCTCGTGAATCATCGGGCATCGGCGAGTAATTACCGGCTGGGATCCGGTGATTGACATCCGCAGCTGCGAATGGTGGCACGGATAGGGCCCCCTACTTGAAAATGTAAAATCACTTAGATATACCGCTACAGAGGGCAAAATATATATATTTGGGTGGTCGGGAAGCGGTTAAAAAAAATCTCCATATGCGATGCTTTAGGTACACCATTGGCACCATTCCATGGGCATATGTAATTTTAAAGCGTGACATGTTCACTATAAAAGATGTTATGTTGAGTAATTA